TATAACTTGGCTTTGTTTCCCCTTCCTAAATCTTCTTCTTCCTCTATCTCCAAACCTCACCATCATCCTCGTCGCTCCTCCCTCCCCCATCTTTGGTTTTGGAAGAAGTCAGGAGGCGTGGTTAGATGCCAGAAGAGCTCAGTTATTACTTACACAGGGACACTTCATCCTGTCCGACAAGTATGCTGTTTGTAGCCTTGAGGGATATAGCTAAAGGGCACAGAGTTTCCACTCAAAATTTAAGTAGATTATGTATACATATTTGTTGTGACTTGGCAGGTATCCCAGTGCCTGAGGTCTTAAAACATACTTTGCTATACTCGAGGCAAGCTTAACTGAGTGTTTCAGAAGATGCTCTGGAGAGATCAGAGGCTGCTATTTGGGGTTCATAAAGGTGTTATCCTCTCTAAATCTGATAGAGCACAGGAATCCTGGAATTCTAACTGCTGTTCTGTGTAGTCCTGTATTTTGTCCTGATATTAGCTGCTATTAGATGCTTTAAGGGTGGCATAACAAGAGTCAGAGGAGAAGATCCTCTCTTATTTAATTCTCTGGTGGTTTGGGTTTTGTCTGGGGAAAAAAGAGAGTTGGCGTTACTCTTTTCTGAAATCTTATTATAATTATGGATGATCCAGTTATATGTAGAAGTCTTGTCTAGCTAACTGTATGCTACCTTCTGGCAATAAATCTCACAGGCTAATACTTTGCTGGTAAAAAATAAAGTATTGGTGTTTATTAGTTTAAAATCTGCTATGGTGTGGTTTTATTGAATGTCTTTTTCGCAAGAACTGATGAAACCCTCTGAGCACATTATTTTAATGTTTTTACCTTATCCTCTGTTTAAAAAACAAATGTGAAAATGCAGCCCCAAAATTCAGGTGATGCAAAGATGCTGGAGGGAGCTGTGAAGTTAAAACAGCTGTATTTTATGGAATTCTGTTTGGTACGGCAGCTTTCCTTATAAGGTCCAATGACCAATTGTTTTGATTATTTAGAAGGAAAAAATTCCATGAGAACTGTTACTGAAAATGACTAACTTGGCATTAGTGATTTGTCGCTCTCTTACAGCATTTGATGCAATACTGAAGTTAATTAAGATAGCTGAAATATCCAGTTAGCCACTTAGTGCTTCAGACATTCGTATGTGACCTGTTTTTATCACATTTTCTTGTAAATTGCTAATGATATCTGTAAATAAGTACTTCTTCTGTTTGTAGTGGTGTTTTAATGTCCAGGCCTTTGTAAATAATGATCAGCCTGTGTATTTAATAGAAAGCTCCAACACTTGATTCACAGTGACCTATGGGCTTTTGCAGCAAGGAGCTGAAGTGGTTCCTTAACTTTTGCCATTACAGCAGTGAAACCTTTGAAGGAGGAGTGTGGTGCTGCAATTGCTAATGGATGGTGGAGGAGCTGTGAGAGCAGAGTGACTGGGGCTGTATGCTGGGAACTAGAGACGATTTGGTCAGGTTGCAGAAGGGCGTACTTGACAGAGAGGTAGCCTGGATTTAGTTAAGTGGGTTTGCTTCTTTATTTGAGCAAGGATTGCAGGTTGATAAAAATGCACTAGTTGATACGCAGTAGGTATGAGCTGCTTTTGCTCAAAGTTGCAGAGGGGTATGTGAGAGAGAGGGGACCAAGACTATGCAGATCTGAAATGTCCGTCCACCCAAGTTGTTTTCGGCATATTGGTAGCTTAGAGAAGATATGCTTGAAAACAGTTATAAACTTATTCAGAACCATTTGTGTTATCTTTTAGAGTAGTCTTTAAAGGCAGAGGATGAGAAATAATCCTTTGAACGCTTGCTTTTTTGTTGTTTTTTTTTTATTTTCAGGTTCTTGCTTTTATTTTGCTTTTCTAAGTATGAAAACATACGATTCACTCAAGCAGATAATAGGTAGGATTGTTCCTTTGTAAACCTTAAAATGGAGGTAGTGAGAGAGAATGTCTAGGCTGTTGATCACTGGGAAATTAACAAAAATAATGTACTGCGGCTTAGTATGCAGTAGGATGTTACCTTGAACACACTTCAGTTCCTCTTACGGCATCATGTGTCCATTCTGAACTTAATTCTCAAGGTTATATCAAAAAGGACTGCTTATTCTACCAAGTGCAGTAAATGTTTGTTGTGATGGGTTAGTTTCCACTCTAAGGTGTCTTTGGGTTATTTGTTTATAATGTGCTGGAGTTTGCATTTATTCCCTTTTGGCTTGCTGCCCATGTACTTTTATGCAGGGTCATCCTGACTGGAGGTAAACTCTCCATACGTGTTGTAGGTAGTCAAGAGTTGCCTTTTTATGGTGGGGGTTGTAAGCAAGTTTGTTGTAATGTTCGATTAGTTTTGAAGAGTCTGCCAAGGCTCTGGTGGTCTCTGATTCATCTGTGTCTGACCCTACTTAGATACAAATCATTACAGGATGAATAGGTACAGGTCACTGCCCACATAAATGAAAGCAAACCTGGACCTGGCCTTGGGAATGAATCAAAGGATGTAGCAGAAGACAAACACAACGGAATTCTTGATCAGTGCCCTCGTAAGTGTGCTGGGCTGTGGTGTTGCAAGTGATACTGCTGCTGAATCCAGGAGTGATTTGTATTCCCCACCCCCCACCTCCTCTGCGGGATGCTGCACAGTGCCATAGTAGAGGCCCAAGGTAACAGGATAAAAACCCAGCAAATAGAGGTCAGCAGCATCACCTATGGCATAGTGTCCAGCTGGGCCTGGGCCTGCTGCACACACTGTGACTCATCAGACATGAACAATACCCAAGAAACTGCTACAGGATCCTGCAGAGGCTGAAGGAGGAAGCTGATCTGGTGAGTATTGCATGCCCAATTGCACAATAACTTCACAGGAGGTGAAACTTCACAGTTTAAAAACTACTTTTTCTGGAGCAGAGCTCTCTTGCTCAGGTAGCAGCTTTCCCTTTGCCATTCTCAAGCTTAAATCAGACTCTTATTTTATTTATTTGCTCCTCGTCCCCACAGATGCACTGTCAGTCACTCACTGGCCACCTCTGCACTCCATCTGCTGTCCCTGCATACCTACATTTCTCTTACCATCTCACCCAGATTAACAGCCTTTACTGTTGGTATCCTCTATACCAAATTTTGCATGTCAAATCCAGCAAATTCTTTTCAGGTACCCTTGTCTAGTTATCAGTCTGCTGTACTGAAGGATTTCTGAGAAACTTTACTATGTAATTTCTCTTGTACCTTCATGTCTTCTCTTTCCCCTTGTTCTCTCTACCCGCTGTGTAAAAGATCCATCCCATGAGGTGTGTCATGAAGTTATCTTCACTGCCCAAGTCTTTGTAGCTCTGCCCTGTAGACACCTTGCCCTGTTTGGGAGGCCTGGAGATCTCTAGGGGAGAGGTGACCCTGCTGTTGGTGCTGATGACAGGCAGTGAGCGCTCTTCCACCTCCCTGCTTGGGGGAGCCCTGGGGCTGTAGGGAAGGCAGGAAGCAGCCCAGCCCAGCTGGACACAGCATGGAGCATTCCTGTTCCCGCTGAGCTGGAGCCATGGCATGGTTCACGTCTGTGCTCCCTGGAGCTCAGCTCCTTCTGTGGGTGCAAGGGGAGACAGTCTGGAGGCTGCACAGAACCATGTTTTGAGGGATGCATGGATGTAAAGGACAGATGGCATTACATGGGACTGTGCTTCCTCCTGCTGCTGCCTACACCTCTGCCCATGCAACATGTCCTTCATTTTAACAAGTGTTGGTATGCCTTCCAGCCAGTGTCATCTGTCACGTTTGTGCTGTTGACTCAAGGCTTCGTCGTTTCTCCAGTACCTGACACTACAAATAGCAGAGCTCTCGATCACACTTTCTGATGCTTTTGTTTTTCACTTTTTTTTTCTTTTTTTTTTTAATTCTTGCTCCTCTCCCTGAAATGGCATCTTCTCATTGGTCTCACTTTAAAGCTTTACTGGTATATTTCTTTGCTATGCCAAGTCCCAAACTTCTTGTACTTTTCTGCCTCCTCTCTGAGCTGATTCAATCTCCTCTAATTTCCACGTTGTTAATCACAGCCTTCTCCAGCTTTGGTTATGCTGCCCCCCTGCTCCAGACCTTAGTCATGCTCAGCGTGTTTATAAATCTTAATGCAGCCTCAAATATAACGGTGTGCTGTCGCGGAGTTTCACTGGCATGCTCAGTCTTTGCTCAGGGTGAAATACACAAGGAATTTTGAACTGTGTTGCTGTTCTAAAACTTTTATTTAGTGGAGTGGGCTTGTGTGTATCTAACAACTGCTACAGAATTGTCTTAACTTTGCAGTGTATTTTACGGTAATTTGTAGGAGCCATAAAAAGAGTGAAAAGAGTGTGTGGCAGGGAGGTTTGACACAAACATTGCAGGTAAAGGAGGTGTTGGGGTTTTTCCTTTTTCTTTTTTGTTCCTGTCCCCCACCCCCACTCCCCCTTTTATTTTTCTTTTTTCTTTTTTTTTTTTTTTTTTTCCTGTGAGGAAATGCTCCTTTAGCACTCCTGGATAAGGCTTGCTGATAGATAGCCTTGCAGTATATTATCACAGTTTGCCTGCTGTTTTTAAAAATGAAGCCCTTAAGTCTCCTAGGAATTTTCCTAGGGAGTAATATTCTTCAGCATAAGGACAGCCAGTTGCACATGTGTGCAGTTACAAATGTAATGCCTACTGTTTTTTTCTTTTTCCTTTTTTAAAAAAGAAAAACAGATCCCAAAGCAGAACCCTTCATACTCAAATGCCTATCCGACAGTGTATGACCATTTCATGTTTTGAAACAATAGCAACCAACTTACCCCATTACGTATGTCCCAGAAAAAAATCCTACAACGGCATATGTAGTATGTGGAAGTAATTTGGAAGGCATCTTGCAGTTTTGAAGGGAACACGGTGAAAAGAGTTGGGGGAAAGGAATTTGAATGTGGTCACAAAGGAACTCATTAGCAATATTAAAATAGAGATTGTAATGAGTGGGGTGACCAGTAACATCTTTATTTTTTCTGATTTCTCTTAGCACATAAAAAAGCTGCAGCCCATGTGAAGAGGGGAATTATTAGCTAAAAGATAGCCGTCAGATTTCAGAAGATAAACAAAAGGTGGATCTGAACCTTGAAATTGTCAGCTCAGCTCAGCAAGAGGTTGCAAAGGCAGAGTGATGAAAGGAAGGTTTCCTGGAGAACTCCCAGAAGATTGAAATGGATTATACAATTCTGGAAGGGGACAAGAAACAGGCAATGCAAAGGTGCTAAACGTAAACAGTTGTAACAAAACACTGGTCAAGCAGCACTTTTACCTCCAACACCCTGCAAAACACAAAAGATGTTCTGTATTGAGACCACTGTGTCAGTTGAACTAATCAGAAATGTTTCCTGAACAGTATTGAGGGTCATCTGGAGGAGCCACTCCTTGCATGACCTACTTTGTTTTTAAGGTCATTATTTTTTCATTGAAAAAATTTCACCTGTCTGAAAAATTAATTAAACACAACTATTGTAAGACTCTTCACAACTTTTTAAAAGTAAAATAAAGCTAAACTGTACCTTTTTGATTGCAAATGTTTTGCTAGCCTACAGCTACTTTCCTACAGCATGAAAGGAGCTCAAGCATCTTGTTGGAGAGCACTTTAGAGGAATACATTCTCTGTGACTCTTCAAAAGCATCTCCATTTTGTGTCTCCATCTGCCCTTCAGGACTTTTTTTCCCATTATGTGCATGAAACATTGATGCATGCCATACAGTCATAAAACTGTTTTGAATTCCATCTTTTTTGTCACCATCTTCCTTCTACCTTTCTGAAAGCCTGCTCCCACTGGCAGTCTACAGCTATTTAAGGCAGAGTCTTTCATGTGTTTTTTCTCCCATCGCTTACTGTAGGCTTGGAAATCAGGGAAGCAGAACCTACTAAGTTGTTTTGGTGTCTTGTGGAGGGCAAAAATTACCTTGCAGGACACAGGCCTTTCATCACTGAGCACCCATTATTGACACTGGTGAATTCTTACTGTCATAAACTGTCCAACAAGACTGTGAAGGAATATGCCATTGTGTTGATAAAGTCTTAAGCCTGTGTGTTTGGGAGGTAGAGCTGGGGTAGAGTAGGGCTACAGATCCGCATCTCTCAACCTGCTTCTTTGCCAGCAGGGAACCCTATCCCTTCAAACAAACCTTCTCGTGCTCCATCTGCCTTCCGGACTTGATTGCCCTGCCAATGATAAGCTGATTACCTTGTGATTTAGTGGTAAAGTTGTTTGGTGGCTACATCGTTGCAACTTTTCATCAGGCTGACAGGAGCTCCCAGACTGGTTTTCTGTTCCTGCAGCTCCAGGGTAGAATCTGTGTGGACTTCTGGCAGGTTCTGCCTTTGCTGCCTGAAACTGAATCCAGTAGTTGTTGCCAGTCACCTAAATCCAAAAATTGTACTCCAAGTGATTGTTCTGGATACTAACTGCCTGGCTTCATCTCCCTCTGCTATGTTCAGTCATGCATAGCTGCTTTTAATTGTTCCTCAATCTGGCATAAAGTCTCAGAATGCTTACAGATTCAGATGTACATCCCAAAATGTGTTGCATGACTGAAACTGAAGCAGAACACTGTGAATGAACTGCACAATGCACCAAATGAGAGATGGGAACAAATGCAGAGCTGTTTACTTACCTTGTTAACAAGGATGCCCTCATAGCAAAATGGCATGCCAGCACTCCGTGAAGTCACCCTAATCAGAGTAAGCTGTTAAGGTATATGCTAGCATCATAGCATAGACAAAGCTGGTACATGAACAATCAGAAATACATTCAATATTTGTGCTGTGCAGGATCTAAAAGGCTCATTGATTACAGCTTGGAAAAGGGATTTGCTTTGGTATTACCCTAAGTATTCTGCACCTTTAGTTATCCTTTCCTAAGGCTTTTGTGTTTTAGCTCATAAGGTTATTGATATAATCACCCAACATCACCACTGTAGCAGCAGTAGTGGTAGTAAAGGACATCATGACTAAACATGACACTTTTTATTTAAGATAAAATTACAATAATCTAGTATTTTCAGACAGAGCAGCAGTTAGGTGTATTAGAAGATTAGCAGCTGCTTGGGAATTGGGCACTCTTTTTTACGTGTTGCCTTTCTTTGGAGGCTGGGATAAGAGGCAGAGGAGACTGGCAACCAGGATCAGCATTTAACTGGAATACCTCCAATAAATCATATGAGAATCCAAAGTTACAGAACAAGCAATGCTAAACCCTGTCACAGCTTTTGCCCCCAGGCAGTGTTGTTCAGGCAGTGTGATATTCAGGGCAGGACTGGACTTCTGATTTCTTTGGACTACCTCATATTTACCACCTACATCCAGGATGTGGTGTGTGTGCTGGAGACACTACACTTTCTCACAGTCACTTTACTTCTGTCCTTCGTGAGTTGTCTTTTGGGAGTCTTAGGGAGTTAAGAGTTCTTTGGAGGCATCAGCAAGGTGTTCTGGTTCAAAAATCAAAGTGAACTTTATCAAAAAGGCTGTTTAAGGAAACTAAGGAGCCATATTGTAAGAGCGAAGTCTTTGTACAAGTAAATGGCAGATTAAAAGGCGGGATCAAAGGGCAGAAGTAGATAGTCAATTCTCAGTTAACGAGGGTCCCAGTTACGTTCCGCAGATGTCTGTGCAGTTCAACTCATTTGTAAATGGTATCAGTAAGGGGATAAGCATTTGGGTGAACAAGTTTGCTGCAAAGAAGAGAGCCAGCTGTGAAGATGAGCAGAAAGGCATTGAAGTGCTGAGGACGGGGTAAACAAAATGAATGATGAAATTCAGTGTACGTAAATGAGGTTAACTGAGGAGCACTGGGCAGAACAATCCTGATTATATATGAAGATAATGAATTCGAGCTGAGTACTGTTGAGAAGTAAGATTTGGGGATTTGGTTGTGAGATCATGAGCTCATTGGTCACCAAAACACAACCCAAATGTCAGAGGAAAGAAATATAGAATAAAATTGATAATGTGATTTACAAAAGTGCATGGTCCAGTTCCCCCCTGAGTGCTGTGTGCGCTTCTGGAGCCTTCATCTCAGAAAGGATTTATTAGAACTGGAAGAGGTTAGAGAAGGTCAGCAAGGATGCTGAGTTACATGGGGTGGCTTCCATATGAAGAACACTTCTGTGAACTGGGGCTTTGGTTTGGGAAAGGAATGAATTGAGGGCAGTGTCATGAAGATCTGCAGAGGAAGGAAGAGGCAGACTAACCACTACCTTTCAAAACAAGAACGGTCAGTAAAAAACATCACACATTTGTGACCTGTTCTGTACTTTTGGCTGTTACTGGAGATAGAATACTGGCCTGGATGTACCATTTATCTAGCCTAAGCATCTAGTCTCATTTTAGGATGTCTTCAGATCAAAGGAAAATAATACTCCTTGTAAACATTAGTTAACTTCTGATCATATTAGTATATAATCTCATATGTACTTTTATGATGTGTGTGTTTACTTGTACATATTCAGGATTTGTTTTTGATTAAGGTTTGTCATAGAACCATAGAGTGGTTTGGGTTGGAAGGAACCTTCAAATTCGTCTAGTCCAACCCCCTGCAATGAGCAGGGACATCTTCAACTCGATCAGGTTGCCCAGAACCACATCCAGCCTGGCCTTGAATATCTCCAGGGATGGCACATCCACCACCTGTTTCAGTGTTTTACCACCCTCACTGCAAAAATTTCTTCCTCACAAGTACCTTCTTAAGTACCTTTTAAGTACTGAAAGACTGCAGTAAGGTCTCCCCGGAGTCTTCTTCAGGCTGAACAACCCCAACTCTCTCAGCCTTGACATGGTCCTGTATGCAGATTAAACAGTAACCAAACTTTGTTTTCACAGAAGTATCATCACTTTAAAAACGGATGCAGATTATTCCTGGGGGGTGGAGTGGCGTGGTGTGATTCCAAAGCATGTTTTAAAGATCCTAACAGTAATAATAATATTAACGTTATTTGTATGATAGCATCTCCAAAGTTTTTAGAAAAACATCTCTGCAGTGCCATAGTGATTCTTTAAAAGCCCATAAAACCACAATTATTAGATGGGTTAACTCTATTAAATTTAATATATAATAGGAATCCTTTAGAATATTTAGTAACCAAAACTGAGCTGTCAGACTTAAACTGGACCTAAGCAATTTGAAATATGGAAAGCACACAGAGAGACACTGAATAGTATTGTGATTTTATTTTTTTTTTTTCATTTAAATTACAGACTATTAGGTCATGATAAAATAAACATTGGCAAATTCATGTTCTGCTTTTCCAGAAACTTAAGGAGAAAAAGGCAGGCATGGTAGAATATTTCCTCTATATTCTGAAAAAGGTTGTGTAATGTTCTTTCTAGTGTAGCATATTAAAAGAATGAGTTCTTTTCTAAAGTTAAAAATCCAGTTGTCCAAATTTCGTGACTGTGGTATACCTTTTAAGAATTGCGAGTGGTCTTACTCAAAACCATGAAAAAACCCATGTCATACTTCATAGTCAAATCTGTATAAATACCTATTTTCATGGGGGTTACAGTCCCACAGCAACCTAGTGTTTTTTTCCTTCAGATGCTTTGCTTTATTAATGAATAAAAGGTATGTATGTTTAATACGAGTTTGCTCGTGTAATCTGTGTATTTACTGCCCAAAAGAAAATAAGTGGATTTCATCATTTTAATGCATTTATTCCCTTTGCTGCCCGTATTTCACACTAGTTTGAAAGGTCAGGGTTTTTTCCTGCTTTATGCACATTCAGTAGGTTTCTGTGTTTGTGGATGTATTAAAAAAAAAAAAAACACCAAACACCAACAAAGACTTTGTTAAATTTTTGAATTTATGAAATACCTTAATTCTTGTCTCTTTTCTACCTTCTACGTAATAACTTTTGCAGCATAATCATTGTTCTGCACAGTAGATATTAGTAATGCGCTGTCACTAATAGTAGAGTACAGCAGTTGCCTGAGTTTAGTTTCAGTGCTGATGTTGGGCTGTTTCCCTGAGGGGTAAAGTCTTATGTGTTATTATCTCTTAAGTATTTGTTACGTTTATACCTAAGATCACTGGTTAGATATTTTCACTGGTTTGCCCACATCGTTCTATTTCCCTGCAGCAGCTTTCACGGGCAGTTCTCCTGCTGCATGCTTGGAGTTGGTTGTGTCTTCCTGAAGCCTGTGCATGTTCTTGCTGCTGTCCTGCCATGCTCTCTTGGCCAGGCTTCTGTAATATAGGCTAGAGCTTGAAT